CCACCGCAGAGTTCAGGACAACCGAGTAGCGGTAAAGGATCGTTTCGAGGGCCAGAGGTTCCTAGGTTGCCAGGAGAAGGGTTTGCGTCAGGAAAAGGAGCACAGCAACAGTATCCACGAACATCGGGACTAGGAACACAACCAGGATTTCCGTTTCAACAAACAGGTGTGTATCCACAAGCAGGTATGTGTGGTTACGGTAACGGACAACAGCAACAGCAGCAACTGCAACAGAGTGGTTTTGCACAGCCATGCGGGTACGTGTCACACCCATATATGTCGAACATGAACATGCGTGGTATGAGTATGAGTTCACCAGCACATGTACAACCTAGTGTGCAAGACATGATGCAGTTTTCGAGTTCGATGTCTTTTGGCCAGATTCTGCAACTGACTCAGTTTTTGCAGGAGCAAATCAGAACACGTCAGCAGTCACCTGAAATGTTTGGTCAGATTCCGGCGGTGCGCTCAGATCCTTTCGTTCCGGACCTTCAGGCAGCAGGCTTACCGTTGCCTAGCATGAGTGTGCACCAGTCAGCAACGCCAGGAAGAAACGTGAACAACGGAAATGCAAACCAACAAGTCGATGTGTTTTCGAAGTCGGAAAAATGGATTGGAACTCCCCCAACTCCGAAATTTGAGACATGGAAAGATCGAGAATCAGAAGTGCTAGGATGGAGTCAGTACCTCAGTGATCTAGGGAGCTGGGCCAGCCAAGCGTCTCTAGAGTTTGGTCATGAAATCGCACAAGCAGCACGTTGGTCGACAGTGATCGCCTGGAGCTCAATGACAGTTTTGCAACGTGCAAGATCGATGAGACTTCTAGCTATCTTGAAATCTACGTTTTCACAGCATCCTAGAACGGGTACACTTGTGAATGCCTTTGTTGAGGGTGTTTCATTGGTGTCGTTGTCATTTGGAGCCACAGATCTAAGTCAGGAAGGCAATGGTTTCGAACTGCTTCGACAACTCACGATTGAATACAGTTTGCGAACAAGGAACGAAGCATTGATGTTTCGTACGTCTCTTGCAATGAAGAGTTTCAAACTGGATGCAAACGAAACGAGTCCTTCATCTTTGGTATCAGATGTGATCAGGAAACTAGATCTAGAGGCAGCAAGGTATCAGA